TGGGCTGATTTTCTGGTTTGTAGCAGAAAATTATGTAAACTTCTTTTTTTTTTTCATACACATAACGTAAACAAATACTGCTGCCAAGTTATATTTTTGGTTCAGCGAAAAACATATTTCATCAATTGTCGAGTAAGAAATATATATGTGAAGTGTTTCAAAGATAATTTTCACTTGTCATTTAAGACAATAATAAAAAAAAGTTGAAACGAACTTTATGAATAATACTGTATTCTATCAGTTTTCTAATAGTATTTATTTCTAGTGACTCGTCCGATTATTTGTATGACTGTTGATTGGTATGCATTCAGTTTAAAATGCATCACCCATTATTTTCATCGTTTTTACGATTGATAACTTATTAGCGGAATAAGTTCTATATTTCTCGATGATTAAAAATTTATAACACCACTAAATGAGTTTTATTATGTTATGAAAATTTTATGATGCTTTTTTCATAATAAATTAGGAATGCAATTTTTAAAAATGCTTCGAACATTTGATCTTTGACTATTCTATGAGATACATGATATTCTACGGCTATATGGCAATAAGAATTCGTTTATATTTATAGTATTCTGCCAACGAGAGTAATTATGAAGGACAAAGAAAATAATCCAATCGCTCATTTATTGAAACTTTTGGATTTCTGAGATGATGAATCAGAATTCACAATTGGTCTCTCAGAAAGTTTTTCTTGGTCAAACAATAAACTCGCACATATTGAAAGAATCGATGGTTGAATTAGACTCATCCTTTTTGATCAGCATACTCTCCCCATCGGATTTCTGTTGTCTCGCTCTCATTCTCATACTTCACTTGTTCTCCTTCTCCTCAAGCCAATACGTCATCCACTTGACATTGAGTAAGTTAACGTGATAATAGATGCTCTTTTGAAATTTTTGGTTGAGTATTGTTGTGACACATGATAGACAATTACTTCAATGAGAGAAGCCTTGTGTGTTAAGCTCCGTCTTCTCACAAAAATCAATCTGGAGCCGTATATCATGACTTTTTCAGGACATATTCGTCAAAGAAGCGTTCAAAATAGCGCAATTGTCAACTCAAAGTCTCTGTGGGTCTTGATTCTATATATTTAACTTTTTCTTTATTTGAAGGAGTATGTCAGACTATACTGCTGACAGAGCTCGTTCGTTTGAAACTCTTACTTTTTGTGCAAACAAAAAGAGTGAAAAGTTTACTCAATAAAAAAAAGTTGCAAAAAACGATCATCGGTTTATAGAAGCCCATGTTTATATGATAATCAAAATGCTAAAATTCTAAAAATAGGTTTTATCAGGCGTCAGAGCTTCACATACTCTTTTAGATAGAAAAATATTGATTACAATGAAGCTTTTTTTAAAGAACACTTAGATGTGCGTCCAGAAAAGCATCTTTGCCAAGAGGAAGGTAATGGGAATCATCGAAAGTTTTTGTAAAAAAAACGATGTGCCAAATAAAAAAAATTCTATTGTTTGTGAACGATCAGATCTCAAAACTTCAGAGTAGAGTTTAATTATTGAACTACTGTGTAAGTATTCAAATAATCAATGTTGCTCTTCGTTTGCGTTACGATTCGATGGCAGCCTGAGCTAGACAAATGCTTGGCTTATGTTTACTTTCGTGAAACATTTGAATATTTTAATTTCAACAATTCAAGCTTGATACTGTCACTGCAATTGTGAACTATCATGAACTTTTTCTGAGTTAATCACCGAATAAAAGGAAATCAGAAAAAATTACCTCGCATCTGTTGGATGATTATCTAATGTCAGTGACAAATTGCATTAAGAGTATCAAACTACGGTTCAACACGACAGATTCTAGTTGATAATGAATTAAACGTGTGCTGTCGATTTGAACTCGCTGACAAATAAATTTGGATGGGAGATTGAGAATCGCACATAGCATTACAAAACACTCTCTACGTTTCAAAAATTTTCCCTCAAACTTCTTCTTGACTTTTCTTTCTTCATGAAAAATACCGCCCTAGTTTTTCATGAGGTTCAATATATTCTAAAAAGGAACAAATCAAGTTATATTGGTGCGGTAGTTTACTCTCTTCGTACACACAAATCGTATACATTCTTCATTTTCCTTCATGTATGATCGTAAAGATATGCGATAGTAATACTGAACCATTTAACACAAACGTTTATGAGTAATATGGACTTCATATTTGTCGAGCTGGAAAAAGAATCTAACACAAACATTTTTTTATACGACTAAACAAGCGGCAAAAAAACCTTGGTTATTTTTCTTTCAAACAAACCTTCTAAGAGTGTTTTTTTTCAGTCTTATTTTATTCTGTCGTGTTAAAACCAAAAAGCAAATGCATTCTCTTCTTGATAGAAAAAGTGAAAAGAAATGAGCCAAACTAAATTACACTATTGCAATTAAAAAGTGAAATAATGCTAATACTGAGATATCTGAAATTCATACATTCGTTCTTGCAGAATCTAATACATCGGACTAATACAAATCGATGTTTATCTAATGTAAAATGAATTCAGGATTACTTTCTTTTTTTTTTTTATTGTTCTTCTTCTTGCATATCTTTATATTATAACAACAGAAGAAAAGAAAAGAATAATAAAAAAATATTGATTCTATTGTTGCCATTCAATAAACGAAATCTGCTATAACAATTTCTTTTATATAATACATTATTATGAATTAATTGATAGTTAGAATGATGTATGATTTATCTTATTACACTGATAATTTTAATCAATGATATGATATCTTATGAAACTAAAATATCAATTAAAAAATAAATGACTCAAAATTGTTCAATAAATATATGCGAATGAAATCATTTCGTAGAAATAGAACTTTGATATAATATTACTGATTTTTCGCTGTATTTGATTTATTCGTTTCGTTTTATTTAATGAGATTGACTAAGTTCTAACAATAGTAATCAAGATTAACTCAAACCATGCTTATTAATCATCTTAACTATTTTGATCCGGAAGCCACTATTCCTTTTACCTGAAAATGCATTAAAAAGTGACATCTATTAAACTAATATTTTTTTCATTTATAATATTACAAACTTTCTTGACATTTTCAAAAAGAAAATGTCAAAAACCCTACACTGCACTCAATGTCGTATATCATAAGCTGAATCATTAGATATTCGCTATTGATTATGAACTTATACCAATCGCTAATATAGTACTATGAATCATCACTATTCTTTGTTGTGCTTGTTGTTTCGATAGAATAAAAAAGAATAGAAGGAGGATACAAGAGTTCGTTCGTTCTTTACTATTATTTTTTTTTTTTTGTTCTTTTGAAAAATTGTATTCATTATTTTCTTTTTTTACATCAGAAAAAAGACGAAAACAAAGACATTGATTATAATTCAATCTTAATAAACTTCTTGCTCATTTAGAATTTCGAATAAAGAAAATCAACATATAATTTTTACATCATAATATTCTAAATAAAATGTAAAAAAAAAAAAAAAAACTAACGTAACATCATTGAAATAAGCTTAACTTAAATCTATAAATTCAATAAGAATTAATTTATTCTAGATTTTAGACATATTCTAAAAACAAAAAATTCTTATCAATGGCAGGAAATTCTTCAACAAAAAATAAACGTCAAGAAGAAAAATATGTTCAAATGATACGTGAATTGGCATCATTACCAATGAATAAACAATGTTTTGATTGTAATTCAAAAGGACCAACTTATGTTGAGTAAGTTGATTATTTAAACAAAAACTAAAATATATCGTTTTCTTTTTTAATCTTTTAGTGTTACTGTTGGTAGTTTTGTTTGTACAGCATGTAGTGGCCTTTTGTAAGTACATTCGAAAATAATATTATCTAATAAAAGTGCATAATTCTTATTTTTGGTTTTTGTTTTTTTGCAATATATTTCATAAGAGAAATTAGATTTGATATAAATAACGAACAAAAAAATGTCATGAAATAACGAAACAACATTCCTGTTTTTTTTTTTTTGTATGATAAGACAAATTTCTGGATAAATGTTAAATCGAAGAAAAATTAGGAAATATATATATATTTGTTTTTTGTTTGTATTTAGACGAGGTTTAAATCCACCACATCGTGTTAAATCAATAAATATGTCAACATTTAGTCAAGATGAAGTTGAATTAATGAAAAATCGTGGCAATCAGGTTACATTTAAAAAAAAATTATATATACATATTTTTTTTTTTGTTTTTATTATTTAGTTAAATAAAATGGTTTATCTTGGTTTATATGATGCCAATGCTGGTTTTTCACCTGATCCTAAAGATACAGAACGTTTTAAAGAATTTCTTTCACAAAAATATGAAAAAAAAAGGTTTTAACAATTATTTTTAGTTTTAGTTTTAAATATAATTATTTTTCTTAGGTGGTATGTGGAACCAACAGAAGCAATGAAACAAAAGATAAAAGCTGATACAGAAGCCAGTCTTGATAAAACAAGTCATACTACTACTACTACTGCTACAATTCATACAAAATCATCATC